AGCCTCTGACACAAGACTTTTACGACTAGAAACCAGAATTATAAGCAGACTTGACTCTGACCGCCAAGAAAAGGCTTTAATTTATATGCTTAGAGATAGTCTAAACATGCCATCAATTTAACCATTTAATACACACAACTACGACTTTAATGAATACAATGAGCCAGACGAGAAAATTAGCAAAGAAAAAATGCAAAAATAATCTAAGTAAAAATTGATTAAAAAATTGTTTAATTAGAATTTAAAGCGGGTTTGTATGCCTAAGTTCTCTTCAAGAAGTCAACTTTCAAAGAACTGGACAAAGCAGGAAGTTGGGTAACATAGGCATCAAGAATTAAAATTTTAGAACTATAAGCTACTTACAAATTAACAGTAATAACGATATGTCTCGTGACCTAGGGCAAATAAAACCAAGTCTAAATAACTAAGCCATAATTGTAGGAGCAACCTTTTGCGTAGAAAGCGGCTGTAAATTTTGCCAGTCATCAAGTCCTCAGAGTACCTTCGAATACCTCAAAGTGGACATAAATTACATAGCTCTTTAAATCACTTTAAGTGGAATCATAAACTTAAGCAACAGAAAAGGTCGAATTAAAAGCTTAGAAATGTATGAAACGTAATCTTTAGGATCCCACAATAACACCTAAATACTGGGATCAATTTCCAGAGCATTATCGACAAGTCTATACGCCAAAACAATAGATGCAAAGTATGCTTAAAAACTTCAGAGAACAGAAGCACTGCGATTACGGCAATTTACGTTGAGGATTCTAATCACTGAATTGGAAGAAGTAACTAATCTAGCAATAGGTATAAAAAGACAAGAATCCTGATGGATAATCGCATCGACTATGAAATTGGGGAAAGTGGAAGTCCTTGATGTAAAGATACAGCACTCACTAGATAAAACATATTGTTACTCGAAGTCAGAAATAGAACTAATTCAGAACCGATGCCAACACAAAAATTGCACACGCAATGAGGCATGAAAACTTAGAAAGCAAAGGTTTCTAAAATTCCAACGATTCTAAACCGCAAAATTTAAATGTAATTTTTTCAAACATACTAAAAGTTGTGAACGAGACTATAAAAAACCCATCAACTAACCTTATTGCGTTGATAATAAAGGACAACCAGATAACGATTACAAACGTTAAAGCCACTGAGATGATCGCAGGCATTTTTAGCATCGAAGATATCTTCGTAAACTACCAACGCGGTTCCCTTTGTTTCTGGAGTATTACCTACTCTGATCTGACGAATAGCTCCATACTTTCCGAAGAGATCATACATTTCCTCGGCCGATATGTTGTATGGTAAGTTTTTAACGAGCAAGATACGATTAACTTCTGGAGGAAGTCGTATCTGTAAAAGCAGTGAATATAAGTCAAAATTAAAACGAAAAATAGTGATAAACACTAAACTTAGCATGAAATTTGTCTAATAAACATAGAATCTAACTATCAAACCAGTAAATACCATTTACCATTTACAAAACAAAAAAACTTACTGCAGAACGTTTACCCAGAGCCATTACAGATTAGCAACTTCGAGTAACCCGCCTAGTCAATTGCTAAAATAAAGCAATGCCTTTACGATACAAACATCCTAATCAACAATTCAATAGTATCATGCTTAAATTTGAGTTGATCAATATTTCAGTTTAAATTTGAAAAAGATTTCTACGTTTTACATAAAAAATTGCTCATTTTGCTCTCTAATTATTTTTAATTATATATATATATTTAATTAAATCTTAATCGACTTATCGATGTGAATAAAATGATATTTCAATCTTATGGCAATAATGACTAGTGTTTTGTAGTGTGCTTTTGGATTAGATAGTTGGCTGAGTGGGTTTTTGGGTAGGGATATGTATAGATATTCATTTATGCGTGAACTTAGGACACTGATTAGTATAGTATTTATTAAGTTGTCTTATGCAAAAGAGTTTTCAAATGAGTTGAATCTTGTGTAAATGATTGCTGAGATTCGTATCGGCTAAAGCATTTTAATGATATCCCTCGTGTTTAAATATAAATACTCCTAAACATTTTTGTCCTATCTGTGAGGCAATTGTTTGCTTGAAAGCTAATAGCCACTTATACGACCCTGACTGCGAAATAAAGCGTAAAATGAAATTGTTTCTTAAAAAATCAAAGTTTTTTCAAATGGAATGATAATAATGGGAAAATTTATTCTATCGATTTCACATGATAGAACATGGATTAAAAGCTTCGTCCAATTAAAAACAACGTCATTTACTTTCCACTCAAGATATAGAGCGTTTTATCGTTGCTATTATTTTGCTAATAATGTTTTGCCCATCACTACTTCACCTCATTTCAATGTACTCGAGCCTTTTTACCACCGATACAATTAATTTATCACTTGATTCATCGTATTCCCTAATAATCAAGCTTTAATTTCTTCAATCTAATGTCAAAATTTGGTGTTGTGTCCATTAAAAAAGATAAATCTCTAGTTGGATTCAGTGAATAATTTTATTGCTTCCTAAATAGACCTATTTTGTCCAACTGTTTTTAAATGATATTCACGTTTTTAATTTAAAATTATGCTTTCATTTATTTATTCATTCAAAATAGTCCAATTTCAGTAGTCCAAACGATTTTGCCTTAATATATCATTTCCTGGCAACGTTTTACAAAATCAGTTAGGGACGTGTGGCCAAATATATTCCATACGCACTATGCTTCTTAATTTGATTAAACAATTAGGCGTCAGCATCAAAGTATATCCTATTTAAGCCACTTGACATGATCATATGGTGCCTTCTAATTGACTAACTATTTAAAAGTTGTGACGGTAAATATGATTATCTGAAATAATGAAATCGAAGTCTTTTTAGGATTCGTTTGAAGTGTGTTGTAATCTCATCAACCAATTCATAAATATTCACACATGGGGG